CGGGCACGATGAATAGGCCAGAAGAGGGGAAACGGAGGACTGTGAGTAAGGATCGAAGGGCGGTGGCGCGAACGCCGATGACGGCGCGGCAGTCGTTCATTCCCCATGCGCGCTAGATGCGTAGCACCCCCAGGTAGCCCCTGGGCGGGTCAACATACCAGAACTCGTTCTGGTTTTCAATCAAAACAAGCCAGATGCACATGGGCGAGAGCTGCGTTTATCGAGCCTTCCCGTCCCCCGCTTGTCGTTGCATCCCTCAGTGCGCTTCTCATTCTCGCCCTCCTACTCGTCATCCGTCTCGTCCCTCCCACCCGATATCTGGCTGGACGCGTCGCAGCCGAGAACAACGCCATCGCGTTCCGAACAGCTGCGTGAACGGCTCACGGCCTACTTCATGCGCAGTGCGTCGCGATACCGCGTGACGAGCATCGGGTCGATGTCGTCGGGCGTGAGCTCCCACTTGCGAAGCTTGCTCTGCGCTGCCACCATCGCGCTCCTCAGTGAAATCTTGTTGCCCACGAGCGTCGGGTTGGCGAAGGACGCGCACAACTCGCATTCAATGATGAGGCTCTTGATCTGCTTGGCCGCCTTCGACGTCTCAACAACCTTCTCGTCAGCGCCTTTGTAGTCAAGCCCGAAATTATTTGATTTCTGCTGCAAGGTCGCGATGGCGTCCTCGAGCACTGTAATCTTGTCCTGCCACTCGTGGATAGGCGCGTCCTTTATGCCCTTCTCGTATAACGTAATCAGCTCTGGTAGACTGCCCACCTTTGACTTATTGTTCACCCAATCCGAGTACCCGTTGGTCTCGTCGATTGCCTTGCACAAGCTGAAGCCCTGGTCGACAACAACCGTGGTGTGCTTTTTGCGGATGGCCTCCCCGATGCTGCCGCAGAAGTCGCCGCATTCCTGCAGCAGCGTCGCCAAGTTGGGCGAAGCGTTCTCCACGACGGCGTCCAGCGCCAGCGGCTTGAAGTGCACCTTCGCTTTACTGATCAAGCGGAAGAGGTCATTGCCCCTCTGCTCGGCGACATCGCTAGCCAGGTCGGCGTCCTCGCCAAGCTCCGCGACGATGGCGTTTTTCAGCTGCAGCACCGACCAGCAGGAGTGGATCATCGCGCCGAGTTGCGTTGAGGAATGCCAATCCTGACTCGGAACTCTCTCTGCGACCATATCCAAACACTGGAAGACGCGGCTATCGGTCTCCGTGTACAGCGAAGTCTGCCCATCCGTGAATACACTACCGACAATCCTTTTGAACAGTGCAAGGCATTGAACTTTGACATCTTCGGGGAACTCCTTGCACTGGTTGTCCTTGACCGACGTCATTAAGGAAACCAGTGAGCTTTCGTCGGCAGGAGTCCAATTGTCGATGGACGACCCTAAAAAGAAAACAGAAAAAACGATGGACGACCCGAGCTGAATGAATCTGTCATGCTCGCTCACATCTGCAATCTTCGCGGCGAGGTCGCGGCCAGCGCGCTCGACGTGCTCGTTAGTCGGGAAGAGCTTGGTGAGCTCCTTGAACAGAAGTTTCCACTGCTGGAGCGCCATACCGCGAAGGCTGTCGTCATCGGTGGCGGCCGCGGACGGTTTGGCCACTATTGATTCTACCATCCTGCAGGCCTTGGCCCACAGCTCGTTCTTAGCGGCATCGCATACGCCCTCGTAGAGGTCGACCTCGAAGTAAGGGATGTCCTTCGCGATTTTGAGCATGGTGGTTGCGTGTTCCTCTTTCGGGGGAGTAACGCCGTTGATGCCATCCAGGTCAATCAACATCTGCTTCAGCTTCGGCCCGTGAATCTTGATCGCGTCCGAGGTGTCGATAGCCCACTTCAGCTTTGCCTCCCAATACCCGCCCGCTGACGTGAGTAAGGACTGGCCAATGACCTGCATCACCGAAGCGCTACCGTTCGTCCTCCTCGCCTCCGTGTCGAGGATGTGGGCATCGGCGAAGATCGACAGGTCCGTATCTTTAGTGATGGACTTCAAGCGCAGTGCGACCAGCAAGCGAACGACAGTAGTTGCCTCCAAGAAGCATCTGGCAGCCGCCTCCCCAAGGTTCGCGTCCTCTGGCAAGGCGCTGAACACTTCGTCAGCAAGTTCGCAGAACAAGACGGCGTCCTCAGCGGACGCGGCACCTGCGGCCAGCCAGTTTGAGAACGTGTCGGAGAATACCCACTCGATGAACGTAGAGGCGACCTCGATGTCGTGCGAGCAACCCTGCACCAGCGTCACCTTTGTTGGGTCATCAACCTTTTTGACCACAGAATCGTCGAATCCCCAGACCACGCACGCAGTCAGGAACTTCCTCAGGAGGTCTCGCTTGCGCAGGGCGGCACCGCTGCCATCCTGATTGTTGACCTGGTGCCACAGGCTCATCACGTTGCGCTTTGCGAGGCCCCTGAGGGCTTTCGGGGTCAGCACGGCCCCGGCCTTCTGGAGGTCGGACCACGCGTCGATCAGCTCCTGGTCGTCGACGTTCGCAGAGGCCTCATCGGAGAACAGCTTCGACTTGTTGAATAGGTCGATATGCGTCTGGAGGGTCTTCTTCTCGGTACCCGTCAACTTCGCCAACAACTGCTTCGCCTGATGCTCAGCCCTGCCAGATTTGTAGCCATTGAACCCGCGTGAATAGGCCAACTCGTGTATCCAGTACTCCTTGGTGCCGAGGGAGTTGGGGTTCGCACTGATATCATCACACGCCATGGAAAACGTTGTCCTCATGCTTTTGACCGACCCTGGCGAAGGACCTCCCGCCTTCCTCTTGTCGCACGGGCTGCTTCTGTTGAGCAGCGCACCGACCTCACTTCCGCTCGGGCGCCGCGCCTCTGGGCCCAGGTTCTCGCCAGTTCCCGCGTTGCCGTGCTGGAGGAGCCTTTCGATCGTGAGAGAGGGGCCAGGCCCGAGCGATGAGGCGGCTGGATCTCCCGCCCCTCCAGCCACGGTGGACGCTGCAGCTGCTAACTCATCGGCGAGATCGGACTGCTCGCTGGAGTCCCCGTCAGGCTGGTCTGCGCGAGGCAGCTTCGAACCCCTCCGCGCCTTCTCAACCGCCTTCTCCTTGCGCTTGGTGATGTCACTGTGGCTCGGGATGGACGCGTAGACGCCCCTGTTGAAGGTGTTCGAGGGGTCGTCCTTCGCGTCCTCGTCATCCTTCGACTTAACGGTCCCCGCGAACATGACCTGCCCGTGCTTCTGGAACAGCTCAGCTGCTTGAGCCTTGAATGCGCCTGCAGCGTATCCAATCGAGGTCTTGTGGAAGATCTTCAGTACTGGGTAGTCCTCCTTGATGCCAGCAGGCAACCTCACAGGGTATATGATCAGCGGCTTCGGGCGGTTCGGAACCAAATAGGGGACCAACTTCAGCGTCTTTGGGCTCTTCTCGTATAGCCTGGTCACGTCACCCTCAGTGAGAGCCGAACATTTCGTGTACATCTCGTGCCCCACGTGGTTGTTCTCGAACAGCTGAAGGCTGCGCTCGTGCAGATGCGGCGTCGCGGTGCCCAGCACGGGGTGGTTCTCGAACAGGTCGTCCATGTCGCCTGCGTCGAGGTGTTTGACGATCTGCGCCCAGGTCAGGTTCGGCAGTTCCTTCGAAGCCCACTTCGCGCAACCATCGCACGCCTTGTCGCCCTCCACAAAGAGCCCGATGCGGACATCCGCGTTCTCGGCGGTCACATCGAGGAGCGTGATCTCCTTGGGCGCGCGAGGCGGGCAAAGCTACGACCCCCCTCTCACCTCTCACCGTCGCTACAAGCCTAACCACAATTGTCGTTACCACCCGATGTGTCCCTGGTGACCCCCCGCGGGTGGGGGGTAGCAGCGGGTTGGGGTAGGCACGCAGTGGGCAGGGGGTAGGGGTAGGGCGGTTCAGGCCCGATCATCCCTGTCGGACTTGCCGCACAAGTCGCAGGTGCGAGCACCAGGGCCCACGCGACGGCGCTGGCCACCTCGGCCTTGGCCGCCGCCTCGGCCGCCTCCGCGGGCAGACTGCGCCTTGAGTACCCTGCGAATGCCGCCCTTCTGCGCCGCGGGATGCGTAGGCACGCGCCGAGCCGACCCAGCCATGGCCGACGCGGCTGGCTGACAGATCACAAATCGGAAATGTATATACACGCCCGTGGACGGAGCCAACCAGCCAACCCGCCTCGAGCAAATCTGGCTGCGACGGAGGACATGAATACTACTCTCCTCTCACCCCTGATGACGTGCGGAAGATGTTAAGCACACCCCCCCCGCGTACTGTTTGTTTACGCACAGGATTCCCAGGAGTTCCTACGGCTTAGGGCTCAGGAGCTTTTTTACGCGGGCCACGGGCCACCCACGGGCCAACACCCAATGTTTTTCCAATCAGAAGCGGCTCGCCTCGGCACAGTTCCACAATGGATGTTTCGACAATGTCTGCAGTCTGCACGGTTGCTATAAGCAGTACCCGAACACAGCCAGTCAACTCACCTGGCATGTAGCCTGGGCGACATCTCTAATTCGGCACAGCCCCCCAGCAACAACGCCTTAATTACTTATAAATATCAGAGCACACCTCCTCATGATAGGAAGCGTTGCACATCTAATTGCAGCATAATAAATTGCTATAAGGTGCTGGCGGCTGGCTCGAGGTCCGAATTGGCAGCTGCGCTGCGAGGATGCCTAATGAGTTTTGTTGCGCTCGAGCTCCCTCATCTGGACGAGCCTGCTCACTAGATCTTCTTTCGATCCTGATGTATCTCCATTCATCTTAGAGACCTGTTGGCGAAGGCTGTTGATGGTAAACTGTCGAACCACGTTGGCATCACGAGAGTTGATTGCCTTCTTGAGGTCTTTGGATAATGGTTTGACGTCCGAGTCAGAGCGTTTATCTTCGTCAAGCTTATCCTCCTTGGTCTCCTTCACATCTGGCTCAGACAACGTTCTGAACTTCCACCCGAAAACGAATCCGATCACGAAGCTGATCGCGCAACTCATGATGAACAGTATTCCCATGAAACTCGGCATGCGCATCTCTGTGATCGTAGAACTGCTCTCGTCCAGATTGACGACGGCAAACTCACACCGAGACCACATGAACTGCATAAGAAAAACGTGCACTTGCAAACGCATGGAGACGCTGGCCATGGCTCGAGCTATGGATCTCAGCTACTTGTAACAGTATGCTCCAATGTGGCCATCTCTTGCCCCCTCTCCCCCTCCACCCTCTTCTCGTGGGCGACTCTAGCGCGCAGGGCTGCTGCTGAATGACTGCGGGAGTGGCGGGGGTGCGGCGGGGGGAAAGGGGTGGAGGGATTTGTTAGACGGACGATGGCCACACTGGCGCATACAAGGAATAAGAGGGCGCCAAGATAGTGCACGCAGGTTGCACGGCACCCTTGCGCCTTGCAGCCACAATGCTATGTGACGATCAGCCGAGCACAATGATTGACAAACTCCACTCTTTTCGGCCAGCCCCCCCGCTCCCCGAGACCCAGACGTCCCAGACAGGCCACGAGAACTCCAGGGGCCACCGATGACTGTCGCGAGCAAGACGCCGCCCAAGACTCGCGGAAAAATCTGTCGGTGGCAACCGAACCCACCACCCTTGGTCACGAAATCACACCACGGCCAAGCAAGCGCCGCGCCCCCGACAGCCGATCTACCGCTCCGCCTCGAGCGACGCCGCAGGCGCCGCGCCTCCAAGGGACCCGCAACCACAGCACGCGACACAGTACCGCGGAGTCGGAGCGAGAGGAGGTGCCTAGGGCCCAGCGCTCGGGGGGGGAGTCCCATCTCCCTCTCTCTCTCTCTCTCTTTCTCTCTCTCCCCCCCCATCTCTCTCCCTGAACCCCCTTTAATCCCCCGACTCCTCCTCCCCCGAACCGCCGCCCACAAATGTGGGCCCCCAAGTGGGGCTGAACCGCCCGCCGCTCCACAAGTGTGGAGCATGTCCCCGCGAATGCCCACGGACAGATGGCAGGCGGTGGTGCCAAGTGGCATGTATGTGCCTCCCCCGCCTCCCCCTTTGAACTCTCTCTCTCTCTCTCTCTCGCTCGCTCTATCTCACCACCCATCTCTCTCACTCTATATATCTACCCTTCTATCATCGATCACTCCCTCTTGATGGAGGTGGGCGAGGGGGGTGGGCGGGAATAGACGAGGGGGGTGGGATGAAACTGATAAGGGAGGATGTCATGGGAGAGGAAAGGGGAGACTGAGAAGGAGGAGAAGGAGAGGAAGAGAAAGAGAGAGGGGGCTGCTGATTGCTATGCTACAAAGGGAGTCGGAGCGAGAGGACTCGGCTATATGCTATATGGCTAGGGGCTAGACAACTCTTCTGGATTCGGCTCGACTGCAGTGCTTGGGCACCAACCGCGACCCCAGAGAAGCCAACTCCCTACCTAGCCTAACTCAACGTCTAACCTGAGCTTACACTCAAAGCGCTGCCTAAGGAAAATAACATTTACTTGGCAGCTCACATTCCTGCTGCATAGAGTGCCACTGGCACCTCGCCACACCCTAGTGGGGCCCCTTAGACGGCGTGGCGAATGCGATTCGCTGTGTGGGCAAACGCTCCTGTGCACATGGGCTTGCCAATAACGTCGCTGCCTAAGGAGCCATCCCGCCCCCACCCACCCACCCCCCACCCCCCTCCCCCGCACCCCGCACACCCTCCCCACTCTCCACCCGCACCCACACGCCAACCCCGCCACCACCAGGCAACCCACCCACCTACGCCCTATAACGCACCACGAAAATCCTGGGGTGAGAGGCGGAATTGCAGTAGCAGTGATGTCTAATGTCTAATCGGAAGCCTCAATCCAATAGTCTATAACAAGAAACTCCAACCCATTGCGTCGCAAATGATGGCTAGCGGCTAGCTTTGGCTAGCTGGACACACAATCCTCCAAGCCACTTGGCCAAATCTAAGGTTTGCATGCGCAGACCCCCTTATGAAGCCCTGCGGGCTTAAACGAATGAAGGATCGATGGCGGAGGATTGGGGGGCGAGGGTCGACGGGGAGGGGCCGAGGGGCGAGGGCCAAATGCGGGGAGGTGTGTAAGATCCACGGTCCAAGATCTTGCTGGGGCGCGCCGAGACGACACGCAAGATCAGTTCTGGCGTTGAGCGTCAGGCTGCTCTGCTGGCGAGCCGCCGCTCGCAACTTGAGATAGGAGATAGGACAACGTCGGCGCATAACAAACGAACCCGAATGCATGCTGACCCGCCAGCCGCCAGCCGTCATATTCCCAATTTTGGGACGACGTGACGACGTCCTGGAACAGCAGATGCGCGCCATCTCTTATACAACATCCTGGTCTCTGGCCGCAGCGTGTAAGCAGATATACGAGTAGTCGTAACAGTAATTGTTGATGTTGATATGGCATATATCATGTATCCATACTGTTATATAGATGTCGTTGCTTCCGTAGAAACAATAGTAGCATAGAAGCGTCGCCAACGCCGTGACAAACATCTAGCGCGCCTGCAGCCAGGTGCCAGGGAGAACGTCTTGTTCTTCAAAAGGTACACTCAGAGAACGGAGCATGCTGCCCCCTACTCTGCTGTTGCCGACGGCGCACCTGGCGGTGCGCGTCCAGGTGGCGGGTGCACCTGGTCGTCGCTGGAATCCGCGTGCTGGTTGCGCGGCGGAAGCGCGCCCGTGCTGGCCGAAAGCGAAAGTCCAGGAGGCACGGGGCGCGGGCGCCCCCTCATGCACATTCCCTGGACCACCGTGTCTAGATTCACAAGCTGCCTTTCAATGGCCGACTGCCCATCGATTGACCTGCTGACGCGACTCTTGAGCTCCGTGACCTCGGCTGTCAGCAGCGTATTGCTTGTAATCATTGCCCCCAAAGCGCGCCTCAGATCCTCCATGCCGTTGGCTACACCGTCGAGGGAAGTCTTGAGCAACTCGATGTCACTCTTGATGGCGTCGATGTAGTGCACAGTCTGACCGCTGGCGGTGTCCAAGTTCATCTCCACTGGGTCGATTGCATCGCTCTCAGGAGCAGGTTCTGCGCCGTCAGCTGCGGCGCCTCCTCCGTCAGCCTCACGCGCTGCGCCATCGGCGGCACCTGCTGCGCCACCTCCGTCTGAACCACTGGGCGCGGCATCGTCACTACCTGCTGCAGCAGGTCCGTCGGCCCCGCCTGCTGCGTCATTATTGCGACCGACGCTTCCACGTGGTGCGTTCTTGCCCTTGCCCTTCCCGCGACCTCCCTGGCCGAGACCTCCGCTACCTTGAGCGGCCGCCCTGGCCCACTGGGTGCCGTTGTCCTGGGGTCCGAGGTCGTCGCTGGGAGGGCTGTCGTGGGAGCTCCTCCAATACCTATCGTTGATCTCCCTGCTGTCCCAATCTGCGTTTGGGCAATGCGGCCTCTGCCTGTACCCTGGCTCATTGCACCCGTAACACCACCACCAACATTTCTGCCTGTGGGTCTTGTTGAGCAAATGTTCTGGCGACTGTAACCATGTATCGCACGGAATGCACTTCATGTGCCCTGCTACCATCCGCACGTACGGCGAGCCTCGACGGACTCCGTTGATCAAAATCGTCTCTGGCCAATGGCTCTCGTCCGCCATTGCGGCTTCTCGCCCTGGCAGGCGATAAGCGATGGGCGGCGCGCTGCTGAAAGCAAAGCACGCCCCGTGCTGCAATGTTTAAGCAGCAGTCTTGCAAGCGCAATGCTTGTGCCTCAGCGCCTGCAAGAAGAGGGTTGAGGGACTGCGACTGGTGGCGGTGGGTCCGAGGTCGCCCCACGACGGCACATGAGGCTCCCACGGAGGCCCCCAGACCCTAGCCAGCCCAATAAGGCCCCGAGACGGCAGCAGGGGCGCCCAAGGCGGCCCAAGACAGCCCCAAGATTGCATTGAGCGGTGCCCAGAAGGAATGATGCCAAAACATGTCGAGGCGTTCCCCCCGCGATGGTCTCAAGAGCCCCCCAGGGCCCAGGAGCCCCCGAGGCGTCCACAGGGGGCCGCACTATGAATCCAAAAAGCCCAACAAGAAGCGCCAAATGCCCAAGAGGCAACAAACAAATCCCAAAATGCCCTTCCCCCCAGCCCTTCAGAAACCCAGAAGCAACGAATCGCCCGCC